AACTGGAAATGACATTACATAAAGCAAATTTTAGTTATGAACCAAAGAACAAGAAAATTTCTATTTTGGGTAATAAAGGAAGCAGCAAAAACCTGATAGTAGATTCTTGGAGCCAAGACGGAAGAAGAGGACCCTAAATGCATGGATGAGGACATTATTCGGAAGATCATCACCTCGAAGTTGATTGCATATGTTTTATATAGTTGTGATCAAACACGCATTTTTTTTGTTAAGGACGTGTGAAAATGTGTTGTATATATAGTAGATACATCCGCTCACCATTGTGTTCAAAGAGCAATGTAGATCTTTGTGTTGTGTTGTACTCCGTTCATTTCTTATTGTTTGATGTTTTAAATGTTTCACGAGAAACAATAATAATCTAGCTTTATCAATTACTTTTTGTTTACTTTTTCATTTAATATTTTTTTATTAATTGTTTGTTTTTTTTTCTTTTGGTTTTTAGAAAGGTAAAAAGAATAATAAAAAACTGCAAAAAGTTTCATGTAAAATAGTAATAAATATAATCTAGAAAATTAATCTATTAAGAATAAAAATAAAACCCAAAATATCAAACAATATGGAATGGAAGGAGTATAAGTCTTGATATAAGCAATACTGAAAAAAAAGAGCATGAAGAAATTTATGATACTTTTTTATCTTTTGAGTTGTTCTGCCGGATCGGTCGCTCAAGACCTTTGGTCTCTACCCGGATCCGATAAAAAAAATAGGATCACTTCTTATGCTCTTATTCTCTGTTGAGTCATAGTTCATGTTTATATGTTCACTGCAACAATAAGTGTTCTCTAGAGACTAAAAAGTCCGTAATTTTAAATCTCTACATGGCTTTTGTATGCATTAACACATAGACCCTGACATATCTTAATGATTCATTGAAATGTAACTTTGTTTTTTTTTTGCTTAGTTGGTTCTATGTCTAGATCTTATTTAAATAATTTTAATAATAAAACAACTAAAATACTTATAATTTTAGTTATTTTTTTTCAAATTATTTTTGGTTTTGGCATGAAAAAATGATTTTATAATTTTTGCGAATTTGCGATGATTTTAATGAAAAAATAAGATTGTATGACTTTGACAGAAAAACAAAATTTCTTGGTTTTGACGGGAAAATATGTTTTCTCGGTTATGTAAAAAAATTACAATTTCTTAGTGTTGAGATTTTTAACCTCCGTGCAACTTAAAACAAATCCGCAAGAAAGAACAAAAGGAATACACAAGATTGTTAACCCAATTCCCGGCCTCTAACCGGTATGTCTAGGGAGGGAGACTCTTATCCCTCAACTTCCACTAGATCAAAGGTTTGAAGATTACAACAATGGTAAGCTAACTTGCTCTTAACTTTATTACATGTTTTATGCTAAGAGAGAAAACTGCAGAAAAATCCTAGAGCAAGCTATTGTCGACTTTCCTTTTAGTCTTAGGTATACTTTGCTTTTATACAAACGTCACCTAAGCCGACTTCAGCATTGTTCTCTTTAAACTCTGCATATTGGTGATATGGGCTTCATCATGACATCTTAGCCCACATCTCTGCTTCTCTTACACTCTGAAAACATGTATGTGGCCCATCTGGCTCAATAACATTGTGTATGGTTAATGATTTTGGTCGAAGGCAACATAAGATTCACACTTATTGTGAGAAAACACAATTTCTCTATTTTATTGGAAAACATGATTTTACAAGTTTGGGAAAAAATATAATTTTTTAGGTTTTGCTAGAAAAACACAATTTTCTGATTTTATTGAAAAATATGTTTTTATGATTTTGTCGATTTTTTAGGAAAAATGTGATTTAATAAATTTTTAGATTTTTTTACAAAAAACTTCAAAGGTAATTTAGTTATTTATTATTTTGGAGTGAATCATCTTCATCCAAATGATCTAATTTGGTTCATCGAGATAATTCTCATAAATTTATCTAAATTTTAGAAAATCATCCAGATGACTCATCTGAATGTTTCTTTGATTATGTTACAATACAAACAAATTTCTCCTCTTCATTCAAACTAGGTTACTACCCGCATATTCGTGCGAGGTAATGTTTATCAAAATATTTAAGAGATATTCAATAATTTATTAAGTTTTGAAATATATTTGGGTATCTAAAAATGTTCAGACTAGATTTGAGAAAATTTAGTTATTTTCATTTTTGATTTAAACTTATACAAAGCAAGATTTACATTTATTTTTGTCCGAAATTTCAAAAAATAATATTTTTTCCGTTTGTATAATATGTGAATTAAAGTTGTTGCAAAACATTAAATACTAACGATTTAAAACATAGAAATAATTTTTATTTCCATTAATAATACAGGTAACTAATTTAATTTATTAAACCAATGAAATTATCGAATTATTTGTGATTGGTTCGATTTAAATTTGATTTAATTTAAGTAATTTAAAATAAAGTGTTTGGTAATAAGGATAGCACACAAAAATAAATCAATAAAAAATATTAGAAAAAAGAAGATAATGATACCTAAGCTAATTCTTCATGTTTAATATATATTAGATTAGATAATTTAAAAAAAACAAAGATTCACTTAAATTTTCTGTCATATTTATTTAAATCGAATTGTTTAAATTATATACAAAAAATCTAAATATTAATTACAAATTTTTAAAACATTAAATGCAATTAAAAATAAATAATTAGAGAAATTTTTGTTTGGTTGCAAGAAAGATTGTGTTTGGTTGCAAGAATAAATTATTTAAGTTTTTAACTATTATTGAGATTTAAAAAATTTAAAATTCTGAGATAATGATATATAAGTCACTAATGATTAGTCATCTTGATAAAGAAACAAAGAGGGCCTAAACCATTGCCTTGTGGTGCAACAATGAAGTAAAGATATCAAATCGGTGCTTCATCATCAAAAGCTGTCTTTTTTTATCACTGTCATAAGTTCTCTGTTCCTGAAATGTTTTTGTTTCCACAAGATGACAAGAAGGATGAAATCATTGACAATGTTCCAGATTGACATAGCCAGATTGTTCTTTATGATATTTTCCGGTATGATTTACGGTTGTGGAAAGCATACGTATATAGCATGACATTACTTGTAGTTTAACTCTTGTTTCCATAACAATCAGTCCCCATTTAGCCACGTGTACGCCTCCTCTCTAAAACTTGTTCTTTGTTTCAGCCTCACTTGGGTTTCATTCACTCTGTACCATGACTTGCTTCAGGTTTTGGAGGAAAAATGATCATTTTTCTTTTTGGAGCATTTTTCTCAGTAAACAGATTTCCTCTTGATAATTCAAAAGAGTATTAACAAAATGCATGGATTGTGATACCTGTGTTTAGAATATCATTTTTAATAGATTTAAATAATCTTATCTATTTTTTATTTTTGGAAAAATAATAACACATATATAATGAAAAATAACTATGCGGGCAATGAGTTTGAAAATATATCTTATTATCTTCAGATATTAATATTAAATATAAATTTAATGCTATTGGTAGAGAGAAATCCACTGTAAAAAATGGAAAATCCTGTTAACGGTCATAAAGAAAAAAAAAAAGTTCGGAGAAGTTTGGGTACCGAGAAGTATCGAAACAGAACAAAAACTTATCAGTTTTTGGTGTTTTGAGTTCCACGCTTCCTCTTTATATATGAACACTGCCGCTCACACCCTACTCTCCAAGAATTCCCAATTTTCTTTCGTTGCTTCCGAAACCCTAATTTTGAGTCGAGAGAGCATCGAGAGAGCAAAAGATCGAATGAGGAAGATGCAGAAGCATGAGTTCTTGGAACTGTTTAAGGAAGCAGCTCGAGCCGTTAAATCCGCGAAAGGAGTCGAGAATTCTCCTTCGAGGTGTGTCGACGCCATGGATCGTTTGAAAAAAGCTCCCGAGTCTCTTGCTTGTGACTTCGTCATCAAAACCTCCTTTATTGGACTGAGTCACAAAGTTTTCGTGGAGCACATAAACTCTAAAATCCGATCGGAGGCAAAGCTTCTTTATTCTCTCTCTGGCTGTCGTATCTCTACGCCACCGGCAGGAAACAGAGCCGGCGCGAATGCGATCGAAACCGACCGGTGGTGAAGAAGCCTGTGAAGATGGAGATTTCGTTGGAAGATTCTAAGAGAGATAAAGTGCGTGAGATTCTGCAAAAATCCTTGTCTAGAGTCGCTTCCGAGGTTGTCAAGACAGAGATGAAGAAACAAGTTGCTTCTTGCGATCCTTGCGTCGTGGCTGTTACCGTTGAATCTGCCATGTTTGAGAAATTGGGATGTTTCGAGGGGACTCAGAAACTAAAGTACCGATCGATTCTGTTCAACATGGGAGACAACAACAACCCTGATTTGAGGAGAAAAGTGCTAATTGATGAGATCAACGGAGAGAGTTTGGTGACGATGAAAAGAGAAGAGATGGCGAGCAACAAGATTCAGATGGAAGTTCAACAAATCAAAGAGAAAGCTAGATTTAGGGAGGATAATCGAATCAAGACGATGATGATGGTTCATCAATTAGATATGATCATGACCTAGCAATATAGATTCTCAATTTTTGTTATGTTTATGTAGCGATTAAGTCTTTTGTAGGCTTGAATGTAATACTCTGTTTCGTTGTTTGAACAAATATACATATTACCTTTTCACTAACTTCAGTTCTCATTGTTAAATCCGACACACATTATCACAAAACTCAAAATACAACTTGATTCAATGCCTAAGAATGGTTCAGGTAGCCTCAAGTTCATGAATGCTTCTTTCTAAATATCGTATGTAAGGTTTAAAAAGACTCTCTCACCAAGAGAAGGTTTCCATGAAAGTAGACCAAACAATGTTATAAACGTTCTCGGCCAATTTTATACACAAGTTTTATCCCCAAATCACAGAAAATGAAATGACCCCAAGAAACAAACATCAGCTCCACAAGTTCGTTGCTAGATTGTTGAAACTGTTGGGGTTCAAGATCATCTAAGTCTGGTGAACCTGATATCAACTCCGGCATTTTCAGATTCAAAACTCTACTCACTTTCAGCAAGATGATCCTCGGATGGGGTTTTGTTATCCTTGCTTGTAAGAGCCTCTTCTATGAGAGATGGCTCTAATGTTTCCTCGACCCTTTTGCTCCGGTCAACAGAATCTTCTCTCGTGGTGTCAGCAGCACCGTCAGATGCAAGAGGTTGATCATCAACTTCTTCTGCAAGTGTTGTATTATTTGTCTCATTATGAATACAAGATCTCCTACGAGAGTCTGGCTCCTCTTCAGCAATGCTTTCTGCCTTTGACTCTGACACTTGAGGATTTGTGGAAGCAGGAAAAGACTGGAAAGTGTCCCAATCATCATTTGGCGCAGTGGACAATGATCCAGCTTTAACCATATCAGCAGAAGAGGTGACTTTCTCAGGTGCTGGTAGTTTGATATCCATTGGTGGAACCAAGGATTTTGGCTTCGGAAGGGCGCTATCTTGAGAGACGGAAGCACGTATAGTTATTTCAGAGTTTTTGCATGCAAAATGCTTAACTGATTTGATCCTGATTTAAAGTTTCTATGCAAGACAAATAAATTCGGATGCAATCAAGAACCTGAAGCTCCTTTCGGTGTGTTGTTGGCAGCAACAGCAAAACATCTTTAAAGTGAGCCGTAAAGCAAGAGGGAGCAAATCTTACATTCTGGGATAGGAATGGAACCTGAGAAACGCCATCTGAAGTCAACATTATGAGCCGCAAGCATTCACCAGCTATAACCACCGATTCTTTACTCATTTGTTTCTATCCAAATTGATAAGAAAGAAGTCAGTTATCATAGTTTTTGTTTATCTAAAAAAAAATTCAAGATTTATCTTTTCTCCTACAAAATAAATTCTGTTGAGATTGGAAGGAGGAAACGAGAAAACAACCAGAAGCGCCCCCTGCATCAGACTGACAATATCTCCAACAAAGAAGATTACGAAACTTCTCTCCTCTGCGTTGTTGAAACGCTGTATCAAGCTTTTTAGCACTTGTAAGGCAGTAGCTTGAAACTGCAGATATATGAACGAATGCTTATAAGAGCTTGATAATTATTAGTGGCTGAACCAATATATGACAAGGAGGCAAGTCGAATCAATGCTTATAAGAGCTTGAGAAATACTGGATGTACCATCAAAACGAATCCAACCTCTTACAGAAATTTGACACCATCTGATAATTCAGCCTAAAAAACCAAAAATTAACCGAGTTCCAGCTCTATACAAACTTGCTATATGTTCATTCTTTCAAACCACTGGCGATGCATTCCCATCTATAGCAACGTCATAATGTACCACTATTTTATATTTTATATGCATTTCTATCCAAGAATGTGGCTTTTTGGCATGAAATGATATTGGCCTTTATTTATATTTCATATGCTTCCTATCCAAGAACGTGGTTGTTGTTTTTCCCCCAGGCAGCTGATTTGATAGTGGCCTTTACCACATTAGCTGTGGATTTAATTCTCATACCAGTAGAATGAATTTGTTATGGTTTCTTTCAGTTGCAATTCAGTATATTTCCCTCTTGACATGATTTTACAGGTTCAAAATGAATAGAACTCTGAGTCTGGACACAGATTCCAAAACTCTCCTGGAAAAACTCACCTGTACCCCAGACAGAGTTCCATGGTTGAATAGGCAAATTGCTCACCCTCAAAAAAATCTTTTGGACAGTTTTGTGAAATCTGTTGAAACGTGAAACAAAATCTATCAGAACGTGCATCTTTCTAACGCATAAGGAACTAGTAGGTCTAATAGGGACTAGTAAGTCTTTGTTCCATCTATATAAAGAACAGAGAAAGAATACAAATATGAAATCAGTTAAGTAGTGAATAACTAATCAAAGATCACAACCTATGGCGCTTGGACATCAGTAAAGCAGAGACCAGTGAGAACAAAAAGGAAAACGTGGTGTCGAGTAGATCAGCACAAAAAACTACAATAGAATGGCATGAGAAGAAACTCAAAGCAAATCAAATATTCGAAGTGGACCTACCTGCAATAGTTTTTGGCAGAGATTTATGCTAAGGAAGCCACTCGTGAAAAATCTTCAACCTCTAGTGTAAAGCATGCGATGTCCTTTACACTATGATTCACAGGAATTGTATCCAGGACCAAAGCTTGCCTCGTGCAGACAAGGCTGTAGCCTTCTCGACATCGTATGTGGCGGGATTTCATCTAAGAACGAGCACTGCTGCAGCAAGTCAGAGATCTTATCAGAAGATACTATTTAGTGTTAATTCACACTTGTTTTGAGGTTCTGACATAAGCAAACATAACTGTACCTACATAACTGTACCTACCGAGCATGTCTAAAACAATGGCAATAGCGCTTCAAATTCTACTGGCACCTCACCTATAACTGTAGCCCCGTAGTGTTGTTTTCTCAAGAATGTGGATATAAAACACTTAAGCCAGGCATGTCCAGCAAGAAGCCTGATCTTGATCTACGTTGAACGAACAAGTCTACTCAGTGAAAGCCAAATAAATTTACGTGTGACCCATTCAGCAAAGGAAGGATAATATAATTCGTTGAAGAAAGCAGAGAAAGTATGCGTTTCACTGCAACTTGATCACTGCTTACTATTCCACTGGTCATTATCTGGAAAACGATTAAACACAAAATTTGATAAAAAAACCCATGACAGATGACATGCTCACCTTTGTGGCCAATTCCAGAAGAACAGGCCCATAGTATTTATACGAACAGCAGACACGTGAGCTAAGTGTAGATTTTCTTCGTTTTTCCTGAAATCTAAAGATAAAGGCACTTGTGAAGAAAACTACCTTCATAACAAGAAATCAGTAGAATTTAGAATGATATATATACTTCCCAAAACATTTCTCGTTTCTTTGAGTTTGTAAAAGCCACAAGAAGCAAAAAGGCTGACTAGAAATAACAAAACCAACATTGCAAATAAGACTCGTTCAGACATTTAGTCGAACACCCGAACTGCATATATATATTAGGCCTCGTGAACTACTAAATTAAAAGCTAACGAATCCATTACCACTTCTTCTATGAATGTTTATCTAGAAAATGAATTTGGTCTCTCAATCTTATAATCATCTCAACCTGAAACCATTGTTTTCCACCCAAAATTACCGATTAGAGACAAGAAAACACTTTGAAAAATATGGAAAAGAAACAAAAGAGCTAAAAGAATGTATAGAACGTCTCATATATTAACATTTAGGGAGGCTCAGTTGAAAAATGACAATTACAAAATTAGAAGTTAATACGAGCAAACAAGACAAAGACGATTAAAAACAATTGTTGACACAGTCAAACATGAATCAGTTATTGCAGCAAAGATCTAAGAGATCATCATCGATCCAGCTTCTCATTTCTTCCTCCGCAGGTAATAACAATAAATCCATGTAAGAATCATTACCACAGTCTTGATTATAGTCAAAGCTTGGAGGAGCAGAGTTGGGCAACTGAGTGAAAGCTCTGATCATGTAATCGTCGGTGGTTGTGTTCGCCTGAAAGTTGTTGTTAAGTCCAAACGCATCTTTGTTATAGAGATTATCTCAAAAGCTCTGATCCTCATACCCACCGACATTGATCATTCTTAAAACCACATTCGTCTGATCCTCAACAAGCTTGTCTTCTTTGAACATCCCTACACGGCTTTCGAAGGAAGCCTCCGACACTTTCTTGTCTTATTTAGGAACCGAGAAAGGTCGACACTTTTCTTCTTCTTAAACTTGTCGCTTAATCTGCTGAATCGCTCGGCCATGTCTCTGATTTGGCTCTATCCTCGGGCCATGTCTTGATGAGTTCCCCTTCACGGTCGTAACATATGATGCACACATCGATACCACATAGCTCGGAGAGCTCGTACGCTTTCTTGACCAGCGTCGCCTCTCGCCTCTTGTACAGAGCAGACGAACAAGATGGTTTGGTCTCCTTTCTCTCCTGTGTCTCTGTTTGTGTTTGATCAGAAGAAGAAGCAAATTGTGCAGGCGATGGAGACCAGGAGTTAGGGTTTTGATCGGAAACAAACTGCGATGAAGATCCGCTTGATTCGCCCACTTCGTCACAAGAATGGTAAAGATTCGGGTCTTCCCACCAAAACCCTAACTTGGATTGGGGGTTAACCTTTGGAGGAGGAAACTTGCCGCCGTGAAGGTAGCAATTGGCAATTTCAGAGGCGGAAGAGTAGCCGGAGAAGGAGTAAACAACGCCGGAATTTTCGGCCGGAGAGGTTACGAGGACGGTGATGCTCGCACCGGATAGAAGGCAGAGATCGGCGGCTTTGGAGAAGAGCGTTTGACAGCGTTTAGAGAAAGCCACCGATCGTTGCTCCTTTGTCTCGCGTATCTTGATTTCAATCTTTCTCTTTGTCCCTTTCACCATTGTCGTCGTCATCCTCCCGCAATACTCGAAAATTAGGGTTTCAACGGTAACAACGGACCAAAAGTTGATGAAATCTGCACCGGTCTTAATCAATTTCGGTAGTTTCGTAGTCAGACACAACAAAACGTCGGAAGACCGAATCACGCTTGACGGCAAAATTGACAGAAAAAAGAGAGAGTGAATGAAGAGTATACAAACCTACGGCAGATATATAAAGGGTGGCAGCGGACAGGATATTCGGGAATTTTTTAGTATTTGTGGTTTGCTCCTTTTTTAACGGATATTTAATTTTATGATTTGATTTGCTCTGGAAATATATGGATATCCGGATTTTTGGATATCCGGAAAATTTACAAGTATTTGCGGATATTTGTGGATATTTACGGATATTTTTAAATATTTAGTTTGATTCGTTTAATATACACAAAACTGAAAGTACATCAATTTTTATTATAAAAAAATATTTTTCATCTAAACTATTAAGTGAAAATAATTAAAAGAAAATATTTTGTTTTATAAAAAAATCTATAAAAAACAAACCTACAAAATTAAGATGAGGAAAAAATAATATTTTATATTTAAAAATAATATTAGCTATTTGAAACTTTAATATTAAACTTTACTAAAAAACTTTTGTTGATATTTATTTACTAATATTAAATAAAATATTATTTATTAACATATTTTAAGTTTAAACATAGTATTTATTTTTTATAATTGGTTATTTAGTCATTTATTTTATATAATCAAAAGAACAATTGAAAATTTAGGAAGGAAATTGAGAATATATTAATAAATATAATTGATATATACATGATAATATATAATAAATTTATAAAGATACGGATCGGATCGGATATCCAGCGTTATCTAAAAACATATTTGTGATTTGCTCTGTTTTGTACGGATATTACATTTTGCTATTTGCTTTGCTCCGAAGCTTTATGAATATCCAGATTTTTTGAATCGGATCGAAGCAAATATCGGTTCGAAGCGGATATAACGGATATTTTGCCCACCCCATTATATATAGGCATCGAGTGACGTCAGCTGAGTCAGACAACCTATTTTCCTCTTGTTTTACTCATAGTTGACTCGGTCAAACTAATTTCTTCTTGTTTTGTTATTAAACTCAAATTTTTTTTTTGGTCAAATTTTAAATTTTATACCAATTTAAATTTTTGACAGCATTACATGAATACAATAAAAAAAACAGAAAGATCAAAATCTACAAACAACTAAACAAAAATAACAAAGGAACAAGCAATAAACGCATGCCAGCTAAAAAACTGTTAGAGAGAAACAAATACACTCAAATTTTTGTCTATATGATTTTTTTTAGTTACTAAAATTATTTTTAAAGTTTCTAAATATTACAATAATAATTATACAGTTGACAAAAACATAAATATTTATATATATCTAAAAATGATTATGTTGTAATTTTCAATAAATATTTTCAGCATTAACATAGAGAATTTTTAGATCTTTCATCAAACAGTAAAAAATAAATATTATATAAATATATATGGAAGATCTTTCATCTTTGTAAAAGATATATATATTAGATTAAGATCACTGTCTACGCAAATTTATAATCAGATATTTTAAAACTTGTAAAAATAAATTCAAAACAAAATCAATCTATTCATAAAAAATAATACCTTTTTAATTTAAAATTTATTACAAATTTTCAAATTTTGATAGTTTTATAATCAAATATTAATTATTTTATTTATATAATTTTACTACTTACATATTTATTTATTTTATAATATTTATGAATTAATTGTTATTTTAACATAGATTGTAATCTTCATATACACTGGTTTATTATTAAATATTACTTAGGGCTATTTTGTTGTATAACCATAATAACAAAAGAATACAAGACTATAGCTATGCTATTTGAATAATTTGTGAACTAACTATACTCCATAATAAATTGTCGAATATAGTCTTCTACTATATTATACTATGTACTATACTATATATTAAATTTATATAATAGTTTTCATTTGACATAGTGATATGATCCCTCTTATGATCTTGATCTTACAAACCAAGTGATGAACGTATTAATCCGTGATGATGAGATGAGTTGAAAGTTTGGATGAGAAGTGAATCGTTTGTGGGGGAAAAAGGGGGAAGAGTGAGTATTGAATGTAGCAAGAGGTGCGGATGACTCTTGATACAAACTGTTAGAACACAAAGGATATGACACACCTATGATTCTAAGCAGGATTTCTCGTGGATATTACACACCAAGAAAGGATGATCTACTTTCAAAGAGAATTTTTATTAAAAAGATAGATGAAAACCAAACTAATCGACACACATGGTTTTAAGGAGAAAGAAGGAGAACAGACAACAAGAAAGCATTAAGTTAGTCTTGGGAGAAACCCCCTTGACTAACTATGCATAACTCGGTTCAAACTTACACAAAATACAAGACCAAATAAACAACTAAGGATATAAATGAATCTAGACACTCCAAGCCGCAGATGGTAGAAAGAAGTGGGCTTGGACAAATGACAAGTTAATGGGCAATGATGTTGTAGAAACACTTGCCTTGTTAAAAACCTTAGTGAAAAAACACAATGGGACAAAACTCACTAAGGGAAAAAGAGCACAAAATGTTTCTACAAACCCCTTAACTAGTCATCGGCTATAATGCATACCAAAGCAGTATGTATAGCCTTTTTATTATCATATGCTTCATGAATGGACCGACTAAGCAATACTTCTAAGGCATTATGAAATGCCTTAGCCTTTGAACGGGTCATGGGACCTTCATGAACCTCCATAACGTTATCAGCTACATGTTTGTTTAGATCTTGTTCCTCCTCGACTGCAAGCTCTCCAATGTCTTCCATGATCATATAATCCCCTCCTTCTTGAAAAGGATTTGACCTCAAATCCAACTCATCTGCAACATAGGGAATTAAATCAGTAACATTAAAACTGGAGCCTATAGAATACATACCTTGGAGGTCAAGCTGATAGGCATTGTCATTGATCCTCCTTGTGACGGTGAAAGGACCATCAATCTTTGGCATCAACTTGGATTCTCTTTCGGCTGGGAAGCGTTCCTTTCTCAAATGTACCCACACTTGATCACCAGCTTTAAAAACCATTTTGCTCCTTCCTTTATTCGCATGTTTGGCATAAAGCTTAGTCTTCTCTTCCAAGTTCTTCTTAGCATCCGAGTGTATAAGCTTTATTAACTCGGCCTTTTTCTTTCCATCCATACTCAACCTTTCACTAAAAGGTAAAGGCATCAAATCCAAAGGAGAGGTGGGATTGAACCCATAAACAATTTGAAATGGTGAGTATTTAGAAGCAGAATGCACGACATGGTTGTATGCAAATTCTATATGAGGTAAACAATCTTCCCAAGACTTATGATTCTATTTAATCAATACTCTCAACAATGTTCCTAAAGTCCTATTTACAACCTCAGTCTGACCATCAGTTTTCGGATGACAAGTGGTAGAAAACATTAGCTTAGTTACTAGTTTAGACCACAAAGTTTTCCAAAAGAAACTAAGGAACTTAGTGTCTCTATCCGACACAATGGACTTAGGCATGCCATGAATGCGAACTATTTCCTTAAAGAAAAGATTGACAATGTTCACAGCATCATCAGTCTTATGACACGCAATAAAATGAGACATCTTAGAGAACCTATCTACAACTACAAAGATAGAATCCTTACCTGTCTTTGTTCTAGGCAAGCCTAAAACAAATTCCATGGATATGTCATGCCACGGGTGAGATGGTATGGGCAAAGGGGAATACAAACCGTGATGTTGTGTTTTGGATTTGGCTTGTTTGCATGTGTTGCACCTTCCGCACACTCTCTCAACGTCATGTCTCATATGTGGCCAATAAAAGTGATCTTTCATCACCTCTAAGGTCTTAGCAATGCCAAAATGCCCCATCAATCCACCACCGTGTGCTTCCCTGATGAACAAGTCTCTCATAGAACAGTTAGGTACACAAAGATGGTTCTCAAAGAAGAGGAACCCATCTTGTATAAAGAATTTACCTGAGGGAGATTTAGAGCAAGTAATAAAAATATCTGAAAATTCAGCATCAACTTTGTATAGCTCTTTAAGCTGATCAAATCCTAGCAACTTAGCTTTTAAAGTAGAGAGTAATGTGTACCTTCTTGACAAAGCATCAGCCACCACGTTTTCCTTACCTTGATTATAATTTATAACGTATGGAAATGTCTCTATAAACTTAACCCACCTTGCATGCCTTTTGTTTAACTTTTGCTGACCTTGAGATGTTTTAAGGACTCATGGTCGGTGTGAATGACAAACTCCTTAGGTCAGAGGTAGTGTTGCCATGTTTGTAGTGCCCTCACCAAAGCGTATAGCTCCTTATCGTAAGTTGGGTAGTTGAGCATTGCACCAGCAAGTTTTTCACTTAAGTAAGCTATTGGTTGCTTATCTTGCATCAGAACTGCTACAATCCCTATCTCTGATGCATCACACTCAATCTCAAAAGTTTTCAAGAAATTAGATAAAATAAGGACAAGGGCGTTAGTAAGCTTCTCTTTCAGGCTTTGAAAAGCCTCCTCATGAGCCGTCTCCCACTTAAAACCAACGTCCTTCTTGATGATCTCGGTGAGTGGAGCTGCTATGGTGCTGAAATCCCTCACAAATCTCCTATAGAACCCGGCCAACCTATGGAAACTTCTCACTTCTCCCACGGTCTTAGGGTTTGGCCAGTCACGGATGGCCTTCACCTTTTCCTCGTCCACTGTGACTCCCTCTGAGCTCACTACAAAACCGAGAAAAACAAGACTAGAAGTTCAAAACATACACTTCTTAAAGTTAGCGTATAGCTTCTCTTTTCTGAGCAAATCAAAAACTAACCTAATATGTTCTACATGCTCTTCTAGGCCTTTGCTATACACAAGAATGTCATCAAAATAAATGACCACAAAGATGCCTATGTATGCCCTAAGAACATGATTCATCAAACGCATAAAAGTGCTA